AATATTCAGCAACAACAAACAATATACTGAAAATCTCTGGACAGGAAATCGCAACTCACCAAAAATCAGCTCTCTGCTTTCCCAAACCATATCACTGTCTTCATTATATAGTTTGTCAAACTTAGAATTTTATTAACATATTTATCCTTCCTAATTAAATGAAACTCGAGATCTTTATTTTTTTCTAAATTTGATTAATCTATTCTTTTCTTTTTGGATACAAAGATTGGGTATAACAGGTGATAAAAAGGCATTACAACTGTGTTAATACATTTTGGAAAACTTTCCTCAATAAAAACGAAAAATCATAAGTTTAAATAACATTCATTATTCTATTTTAATAATTTTAAAGTAAAGATTTGCTTTTCAATAACTAAAAATTCTTAGATTGACGTTTTACAATAACTATAAGAATCAAAAAACAAAAAAAGGAAAATATATTTATTTTGTGTTATCTTAAATTTTCAATTACCATATTCCGTTTCTCCTAATTTTCAATCCTCCTCAATATCCATTAATACCCATGTATCTACTTTTTGACCTTTCAAATTATATTCACCACTGTAAGTGATTTAATTATTTAAATCAAACCCTTCGTCCAGTTCTACCCATTTTCCAATCTTTTTCTAATTTCCTTCTTAATCATATGATCCACCGCCTCTAATTTAAATTATTTCACTTATAATTTTACTTATATAATACTTACATTTATTTTACTTCAACCCAACATGTATCCCATCTATCTATCTTTCTACCATTCACATTATATTCACCATTATAAGCTACTCTTTTATAATTATCAAACATTTCATCCAATTCTACCCATTTTCCAATCTTTTTCTCATGTCCTTCTTAATCATATGATCCCCCACCACTAAATATAAATTTTCCCTAATACTTATTTAATATTTACATTTAAGTATTTTTCCAACCATCTTTATAATAATCAAACCAAATATTCCATCTACCTAACTTCATACCATTCATATTATATTCACCGCTATAAGTGACTTATTTATCAATATTAAACCCTTTATCCAATTCTGCCCACTTTCCAATCTTTTTCTCATTTCCTTCTTAATAGTATAATCCACCACCACTTTATATAAATTTTGCCTTGTATTTAAATAAGTTACATTAATTTATATTAATTCTCATCATATTTACAATACATTATATTCCAAAAAAATACTTTCATACCATTCATATTATATTCACCATTGTAAGTAACTTTTTTATAAGAAGCAAAACTTTCATCTAATTCTACCCATTTTCCAATCTTTTTCTCATTTCCTTCATAATCATATGACCCCCCACCACTAGATTGAAGTATTCCCCTTATATTTATGAAATATTTACATTTTATAATATTATCCATCGATCTCTTTATACATAATATCCCATCTACTTATTTTCATACCATTTATGTTATATTCACCACTATAAGTGACTTATTTATCATTATTGAACCCTTTGTCAATTTCTACCCACTTTCCAATCTTTTTCTAATTTCCTTCTGAATCATATTATCCACCACCACTTGTATATTTATATTTCCCTAATACTTCAATAATTTACATTGATTTATATTCTTTTTCATCTCGTTTACAATGCATAATGTCCCATTTACCTACTTTCATACCATTTATATTATATTCACCATCATATTTGACTTATTTATCAGTATTAAACAATTCTTCCAATTCTACCCACTTTCCAATTTATTTTTAATTTCCTTCTTAATCATATGATCCACCACCACTATGTGTATGTTCGCCTTATACTTAAATAATATTTACATTTGTTAATATTATCCACAGATCTCTTTATATATAATATCCCATCTACCTACTTTCATAACATTTTAATTATACTCACCACTATAAGTGACTTATTTATCATTATTAAACCCTTCATCTATTTCTACCCACTTTCCAATCTTTTTCTAATTTTATTCTTAATCATATAAGC